ACCTCCTGGGTTCAAGCGATTCTCCTACCTCAGCCTCCCAAATAGCTGGGATTACAGGCATGTGCCACCATGCCTGGCTCATTTTTGTATTTTTAGTAGGGGTGGGGGGAGTTTCACCATGTTGACCAGGCTGGTCTTGAACTCCTGACCTCAGGTGATCCACCTGCCTCAGCCTCCCAAACTTCTGGGATTACAGGTGTGAGCCACCGCGCCTGGCCGAGAGCCCCTCTGTTATAAAACATAAACTATAATATAAATAAAGGGAAATAGGCCAGGCGCTGTGGCTCACGCCTATAATCCCAGCACTTTGGGAGGCTGAGGTGGGCAGATTACTTGAGGTTAGGAGTTCAAGACCAGCTATAGTAATCCCAGCTACTCGGGAAGCTTAGTGGGAGGATCACTTGAACCCAAGAGGCAGAGGTTGCAGTGAGCTAAGATTGTGCCACTGCACTCCAGCCTGGGTGACAGAATGAGACTCTGTCTCAAAAAAATTTTTAAAAATAAAAAATGGCCAGGCCAGGTGCGGTGGCTCACGCCTATAATCCCGGCACTTTGGGAGGCTGAGACGGGTGGATCCCGAGGTCAGGAGATCGAGACCATCCTGGCTAACACGGTGAAACCCTGTCTCTACTAAAAAATACCAAAAAAAAATCAGCCGGGTGTGGTGGCGATCGCCTGTAGTCCCAGCTACTAGGGAGGCCGAGGCAGGAGAATGGCGTGAACCCGGGAGGTGGAGCTTGCAGTGAGCCGAGATCACGCCACTGCACTCCAGCCTGGGCTACAGAGGGAGACTCCGTCTTGGAAAAAAAAAAAAATGGCTGGCGCGGTAGGTCACCCCTGTAATCCCAGCACTTTGGGAGGCCACGGCGGGCAGATCACGAGGTCAGGAGTTCGAGACCAGCCTGACCAACATGGTGAAACCCCATCTCTACTAAAAATACAAAATTAGCCAGGTCTAGTGGTGCATGCCTGTACTCCCAGTCACTCAGGAGGCTGAGGCAGCAGAATTGCTTGAGCCCAGGAAGCGGGGGTTGCAGTGAGCCAAGATCGCACCACTGCACTCCAGCCTGGCAACAGAGTGAGACTCCGTCTCAGAAACATAAAAATAAAAATAAAAAATAAAAACGGAAATAATAATGGAACCTACTTCTAAAGGTTGAGTCTGAGTGTTCAAAGAGTTAGGTGCTTGGCAAGGAGAAAGTTGCTTCATAATGTGAAGCTGTTTTTTATTGCTGTGTGACATCAGGCAAGTCACTTAACCTCTCTGAGCATGTTAAAAGATTATTCAGTGTGGTGCTGGGGATGCTGCCGTGAAAGAGGTAGACAGAAAGCCTTGCCCACAGTCCAAGGAAGAGACCTGTGTTTCTTCATGATGAATCGTACCTGGAAACTCATAATTTCAAATTGGGCTAAGTGAGGGAAGAGGAAAAGGGCCATTGAAAGATAAGAATGGGAGACAGAGCTCCTGGATTTTTTTTTTCTTTTTAATAATAATGATTAAAATACACACAACAGACCCTGCACGGTGGCTCACGCCTGTAATCCCAGCACTTTGGGAGGCCGAGACAGGCGGATCACCTGAGGTCAGGAGCTGCAGACCAGACTGGCCAACATGGTGAAACCCCGTCTCTACTAAAAATACAAAAATTAGCCAGACTTGGTGGCGCATGCCTGTAGTCCCAGCTATTCGGGAGTCTGAGGCAGGAGAATCGCTGGAACTCGGGAGGCAGAGGTTGGAGTGAGCTGAGATCGCACCACTGTACTCCAGCCTGGGCGACAGAGCGAGACTCTGTCTTAAAAAA